TTCAATACAAGACTTAATGACGTTGGAGTTGGAGTTCGAAGTTGGCGTTACCTTAAAAACGGTCAAGTGTGGAGTTCCTCCATGTGATAAGGGTAGGGGTCGACTTTCTGTCCTATCAGTTTGCTTTCTCGGTGGCCCTACGGGTTGCGGTGTCGGTACGTTAACCATCTGCCCCTTACTTGCCTCCCCGTCACTGGCGCACGTACCTAGAGTAAGATCCTAAAAATGGACAAACATTTGCTTTAAGTAAATAAAGTTAGGTTAACGTAAAAAAGTTAGTATCGTTACAGAAATACCTCAATTACGTCGACCGGACTAGGGTGGCCACTTGGGACCTCCTGGGTAGCTCCAACAATGGTAGGAGAGTGATCCATCTCCACGTCACTCTCGTGAACGTCGGCGGGTTCTTCACAAGTCTTCGGATCCTCGTCCATCCTCAGCTCGTCCCCTGTCTTCGGCTCTTTCCCTGTCTTCGGATCCTCATCCATGTCCATATCCTCCTCGTTACGCACACTCGGATCACGTCCACCCGAAGAACCATCCTGATCCGGCACACCGCCCCTTCTATCATATTTATTCTGACCCTTCGACATAACCTACGTAATAAAAATTATAAATATAAGGATGTGAACAAGAAATTCAGATAATACAATACAATAACCCTTACCTTTGTTAGCCTCTTCATAAACTTCTTTATGTCCTTTATGTCAGTCGTCATGCCCGTTAGAGTTGTCTCAATGGTCGTCACTCTGTCGCCGAGCCTCCGCAGCTCCCGACTCCACTTATGCTTCGACTTCTTCTTCTTCTTCTTCTCCGTCCCTTTCTGTGGCAACAATTGATCTTGTCCTCCATCGGTCCCAATAATATCTTCTGTTACATGATCAACCACTGGGGAAGCATCCTTTGCTACATCATCGAGCTCAACTGGATCCCCAACCTCACCAGTAGCGGGAGACTTCTGAGCGGTGGAAGTAGTAGCCAGTGGTTCTGTAGCAAGTTCTGTGGGTGCTGGAGGTCCGACAGGGGCCACTGGTGGATGCATAACGCGAGCCATGTGCTGTCGTTCGACATCAGTCGCCTCCAAACGAACTACAACCTTCGACTGTATAACACAAATAGTTAGGTCAATTTTAATATTAAATATTAAAAACAATAAGAACATGTTGTACTCACCTTGACGTTCTCGAAGACCTCTCGCTCCAAAACATTAAAAGCACGCGAATAGGTGCAGGATCATCTAAGTAGACGAGGAATAGCATCGTCATTCAGCCTCAATGCTACTCGAGTCGACAAGGTTGATATTGTCTCGTATGCCCAAACCTGCAGTCACGTCAAGTTAGACTCTACGGTATTTCACAGGTACATAAATATATAATAAATTACATTTAAATTTCATTAACCTGAAAAGCGTATGGAAACTCATACAAGCTATACGTCTCAACATGGCTCGAGTCCATAGCGACCTTCTGTTTGTACGCCTCGACCTTGTCCTTCAGAGCGTTCTTCAAGCTCCAGAGAGTCCTTTCAAAAATCATTGAACTCCAGTCATAATTACAGAAAACTTCCCACCGATCCACAATCCCAAGGAGGCTCGTGTCCATTTTCTGCTTCCTTTACTT